ATTTTATATTTTATTAAAGTGTAAGGTATGATCGGTGTTTACTTGTAAAGCTATTGAAATTGGGATTGTCCCCTATAAAACGATTTCCTAACTGATTCTCCGTCATTAGAGACTAATGTACTGTAGACTGTGACGCTAAATCATTAATAAAATAACGGAAATTTGTTTACATTTTAGCAAAATTAAATTACACCGACATCCTTTAGCGTATGTTGTATTATCAGGTAGAACTTTCGGGACTTAAGAGATTTATAATAGAACTTTAGTTGCTTTTATGGCTCTATCAATCTAGTTGATTATCAGATATTTTTTACTATTAATCATATTTTTGCCTATACTTGTCTGGTAAATGGAGAAAAAATCTTAGTTATATTTTTTTACAATTTGATTTTTCTCAGTTCCTATTCGCCCACTCAAATCTGCTATACTCTCTCGGCTCCACCTGGTCGATCCATTCAGTCTAACCGTTCAAATCAGCCGCCGACGTTGCTGCATTTTCCCTTCCTCTTCAATCTTGAACTCAACATCAAATTCAGCATCCACTTCGGATGATAGAATTTTATTAGATAATCAAATTAAGCCCAACAATATTACTAATCCTAATCCTCAATCACAATCGCCAGCTTTTCATGTTTTACCCCAAGCCTCGAATCCATCAGAGGTGCCACTTCCCCCAGGACTACTGCTGGCCTGGGAACAGCCACAGTGTACTTTGCGCTTGTCCGACATGAAATTAGTACGCCTGAAGCGCTGTTGGCGCACTGCATTCCCTCATTTCTCACCTTCAGATAAATCGGCGGATGCTGCCAATAAACCTCTTTCACCTAGACCAGATTCCCAATCTTATTCCAGCCCTGAGGATTCCATAAATCTGGGTTCAGAGAGAAGACCTTGTAAAGAGGCTATTCGACCGAATCGCTCTGGGTCTCTGTCGCAAGTATCATCGACACTTACTCCAGACCAGGGAATTCCATTTGGATGGCTTCGCAGGCAACTTGTGGCAAGTTTTCGCATGCAAGAGCTGATTCTTCAGCTAGAGACTCGAGGTAAATTTATCTGTCATCTTTAAAGTAATAAATTTTCTACCTTTATCATTTTATTTTGAACTACAGCCATAATCATTCAAATCCTACTTCACCTGTATACTAGCATTTATTTATGTCCTCATATCTACGTAGCTCACGCTACGCATATTTTAACAGAGTGTGGTTAATGATTGATCTCAGCTAAAATCTCTAGATCCTGAATGCTAAAGCTTCATACGAATTTTACAAACTTTGTTCTAATCAAAAGATGCATAATATTTGTTTGAATCCCAATGAATAACGTGATAAACCTTTCAGAATACGAAAGTTCTGTCAACTTATTACTGCTTTTTTGATTTTCATTTTTTTGGGACTTTTAATGATTTATTTAAGCTTATTGTATATTTGCATACTATTAAGTATTAGTTATTAATTTCCACATTTAATACTTTATATACTCTCCTCTTCAGCTTAATATACTTATAGGGTTAACTAAGACGTTACTTTTTATTTATGTCATCAAATAACAATTTAGGTTAAGGTTCTGGATTTGCAAGAAATAAAGGAAATAATGAAAAAAATGCATCTTCCTTTTTCATATACTAATTTACCTTAACAGTCCTCTATCATTTACCACCTTACTATCCATCTTTTTCTCTGCCTTGTATT